TGTTGGGCCCTGGGGACTTGGGCTATATATTTCAATATAGTACGTATTTATAATAGCAAGTACCCTGCCTGGTACTCCATGTATAATAATAGCAAGTAGTCAAGCGCACTGGGGAGATGGGGGCACTAGGGAAGACCCAGTGCCTTTTAGCTCTTCAGATTTTTACTTTCAGTGGCAGTTATATTTTGGAGGGTGCTGCTTACAAGATAAAATTTGCATTTATTTGAGCAACTCACAAATGGGATTCACTGCAAAGCTATCATTAAAGCAAAATAATGCAGAAGAAGGAACAAAGGATACATTCTCAGCCAAGGCTGACATGTAGACACTTTCAGAGATCCTTGATGCCATAGGAAAAATGGTGTTTTCTCACTCTACCATGGCCTCCCAAAATCCTGAAAACCAAGCAGTTAGGTACAGGGGCTGCTCATAAAGTGCTGTGACTGTTCAGCTGTATTTTTGTCTATTTGCAGCGTTTCTACCTTGCAAGCAGTGTAGTCATTGCTGTGATCATTCCTGTCTAGAAGCAGTTTCCTCTGTTCCAGTTCAAAGCTGCAGAGCCCATTTTCTGTGAATGGCTTCCAAAGAGGAGGACTCTGGCATCAGGTATTCCTGATGTGCTTTTTGCTTGTGCAAATTTTGCCGCTCTACTGTAGGTAGCTGGTAGGAGCTGAAGGAGTCACTTGAAGTTTGGCTGTATGTTACTCTTCCTTACCTTCTTTTAACTGATCTGGATTAGAGTTTTCTCTATTTGCAGTGTCCATGAGTAGTAAACCCATAAATTTATTCAGCCTTATAACCATGTTAGAGAAGCTCTAATAGGAAAGGGCGAGATGTTTTCTTCCCAGCACAGCCAGTGTGGTATTCATCCTGCTTTTTTCTTGCAGTACAGCTTGAGCTCTGGCACCCAGGGCACTCTGCCATCCTGTCTGCAGTGCCTCATGCTGTGATTTGGCAGTGCTGATGCTCCCTCCAGGTGATTTCTCTGCATTGTGCAGGACCAGTGCTGGTTTTGGTGCTGCTCCAGTCCCAGCTGAAGGGCTCAGGTGTACTTCTCATATGATCTTCATGTAATGAGACAGACTTCTTCCTATGAACCTGTAGTGGGTGGGTGGGGAAGGAATATGCCTTAGAATTGCTAGGCCTTGACTGCCAAGTCAAAATTTACAGAAGTTACAGAATTTTCTGAGTTGGGAGGGGCCCACAAGGATCATCGAGTCTAACTCTTAAATGAATGGACCACACAGGGATTAAACCCACAATCTAGGTAATATTAGCACTATACTCTAACCAGCTGAGCTAATCTCAGGGTCAAGTCTTGAAAATTAGGATCATGCTTTCTAGTGGAGAATTCTTTGGGTTTCACTTGCCCTTGACTGAAGAATTGTCACTGTACAATGCACCAGTCTTGATCTGATAGTTTAGCTGCAGAACGACACCCAACTAGGGAGCCATGGGTAAAATCTAAGAAATGAGACTTTACGACGCCCTCTCTGACTCCCCACAGGAATGCTTTGATGTAGTTAGCTTTATGCAGACTTCTGGAAACTTCTTTTGATGTCTGTGAGGGCCCCATATTACTTAGTCCTTACCTTCAGAAGTCTGGGGCATTACTGGGCAAAACAAGGGTCTGCTCCAAGCTGTCAGATTTCTTTCTCCATTGCCTCTCAGCTGCCCCCTTTAATACTATCTAATGGTGAATAACACACTGAAACAGGTTGTCAAGGGAGGTGGTGGGTGCCTCATCCCTGGAAATTATCAAGGTCAAATTGGACAGAGCTCTGAGCAAGCTGATCTGGTTGAAGAGAGAAGTCCCTGCTCATTGTAGGAGGGTTGGACTAGATGACCTTTAAAGGTCCCTTCCAACTCAGACAATACTATGATTCTGATTCTATGGTAGATACCAGGACATTCACGATAAGGGAGAATGTGGTAGGAAAAAAAGGTAGATGAGATGAGTGGGGCTGGAGACTTGACATGGGGAGCTGAAAGTCAGCTGCAATATACAGTAGGGTGGGCAGACATTTTTCCTGAGTACATATCATGGAATCATGCATATAGGATCTGCCTCTACTAGTCTTTCTTTGTTAAGGAATTGTGCTGTTAGATTCCAGTGGTCCTAGCACTCAACCCAAACATTCCCATGAAAAAGAAACACAGGTCCTCCTGATGAAGCTGCCAGTGGCCTGGGGTAGAAAATTGTGGAGAAGTGAAATTTTTATTTCTGGTTGTTGCTGTTCTCTTCATGCACTTACTGCTACAGTACCAAGCAAAGGTTTGTCTAGACCAGAGCTCAGGGCTACTTATTTTCCACATAATCCATTTCCTTTTGCCAACAGCAGTGGCTTATGTGGCTAAGTCAGAAGGGAATGCTCCCATCACAGACAGCCTCTTTCCTATGATCTTCATTAAGCTTTGGGCCATTAACTCAAGATGCGTGATTATTTTGTTTGTTCAAACAGCAAGACAAGCAGAGTCTCCTCTGAGTGTTTCTTTCAAGCAAACCAGCATGACTGAAAACTGGGAGCTTGCCAGAAAACATTACGTGAAATAGTAGTGGCAGGTTCCTCTTAGTGTGGGCGGACACTACTTCAAACGTGCAGTGTCCATATGCCATAGTTGAGTTGGTTTATGGATGGAGAATGAAGGATACTACTCCATCTCCTTCATGCAAACACTGTGTGAGTGCTGTGGAATATAGAATCCTGGGGATGGGAGTATCAGCTGTTGCTGCAGTCCAAACACACAGCATTAGCATGCAGTATGCTATAGACAGTACCGTTTTCCTCCTTTATATTTAGTGTTAGTACACAGAGCCAAATACTAAAAGGGGGGTGGGTGGGTCACATGATGAAATTAATACCATTAATTATTTAGAAACAATCAAAGGAAATACAAGACATCTGGCTTTAAGCCCAAACAACTCATGGCACTGCTGTTGCCTTGTAACCTCATCAGCTCTTAGTCCAGTCATCTCTCTTCTTTCATTATGAACACAGGAGATGCTTCCCCCCTACCCCTCCCCTTCCCCACCCCTCTTTCCTGCCTTATTTCTGGCAGCTTGGAACACAGATCACAAGACTGAACTATATAGTTTACTGATTTTGTGTGTATAAACCCTGATTCTTTCTGTGGTGAAAAGGCATCCCCCCACATCCCCACGCTATACAATAGTGTTTGATTAGCAGTGTGTTGCAGCCATAGGTCACGTTTTTCTCCTCATCTTGATATTGGGTAGTAGCTGCTGTAGGAGGAAAAGGCACTGTTGCTGCTGTAGTGCTAAAAGTCATCAAGCACACGTGTTGCAGTAGGCTGTGCACAACATGCAGTGAGAGACGGTTCCTGCCCTGGAGGCTCTATGTAGGCAAAAAACTGGAGCAGAACAAACATCACAGCAAATGGAGGTGTTGTGCCCATGTTTCTGCAAGAGGACTGTGGCAGACCCAGTCCACTGACCTTGGCGTTCACCTCCCCGTGGCTGAGGCCAGTGGTTTTATCCTTTGTAGTCATAGCCAGGCGTTTTTCCATCAGACTGATCTTTCAGTGAAATTATTTTTCTTGAAATGAAAATTTTCTTGGGGAATAACTGTTTTACCTGAGAAAAGTCAAATAAATATTTGCCAACTGCTGGTTCTGAAAGGTTCATTACTCTTTTTTCCCCCCTCCTTTTTCCAGGTAGTTGAAGAAAAAATTCTGTTTTGGTTATCTGAGAGGTGTATTTTTGTGGAAAGCCCTTCTTATGAGGAAAAAAGACCCACTTCCGTGATCCTTCCCCTCATTTTGGGGTCCCTTTCCCTCAAGTGATTACATCATCATGATAAGATAGTTCCATTTTCTCTTCAGCTCGGTCTTTCTTAGTATAGATGATTTAATATAGTTTTATTATGATGTTCTCATCTTCCATAGACAAATTAGGACATACAACTTCCTGAAATGGTTTTATTGGGGCAAAGCAAAGTTTTTGCTGGTCATTCTACTTTTCTGTGCATTGGTGAATGTGGGCCCATTTTGATGGCTCAAATGCTGATGTATTGAAGTCATTCTCATTACATCTTTGTCTGTGGAGAAGCCTTTTCATTTCTTTCTTTTCTTGCTTTAATCTGAAAAGCATAGATTCACTGACTGTTCTCTTAATGGTTGTTGAGAGTTGCTTTGAAGAACTCTTATTTTATGAAAAGGCACTGAGATTTCTGTCACAGTAAGCATCTTCTGACAGTCTTTACCTGCTCTTGACTACTATTTTGAAGATGCACATTCCCAATTATCTGTGAAAAAGCATTGAAATATGCTTTCTTGGTACTGGGAAGCTTGCTTTAGACTACTGCTCTCTATTATTTGTAGTATTCCATAGCCTACTCTTGTCCTCAGGAAACTATGGCATCAGTTGAACATATTGGGTGTGATTTTTCAAAGTATGCGGTTACGCACATTTGGTTCCTTCTGCATTCAATGTGTGTTAACACTACCTTCAACAAAGACAGAGTTAGGCCTATGCAGAAGGCTTTAAAAACTGAAAATTAAGCCCACCTCTTGCACTCGGGGCTATTTGCGGGCAAGAATATATGTTATGAGTGCTTCTGCTGCTTTTCAGGGTGTTTGTTAAAGGTGCTTAGACTCTTCTCTGAGTAATGGAGTAGTTAGTTTTGATGCTATGATAGATTTGTTTCTTTTATATTGTCCCTTTAAGTTTATAATGTAAAGGTATTTTATCTCCTGGAACTAAATTTAAACAAAAATTCTAATAAACTAAAAAAAAAAAAAAAAAAACACACAAAACCAACAAAAAAACCCCTACAACATCTTAGACTAAGCTGTTCCAAGATTTTGTTTATTTGTTTCCTTATACTGAAGCCAGTACTTTTTATTTTGTTTTCCTCAGCTGTAGTCATTAAGTACAGTTTCTTGTTTACATAAAACTTAAAGTTTTATTTTCCTTTTTCTTCTCTCCCTTTTGTTTTCCCCTTCCTGACATCTGCATCACATGTTGATATCAAGAGCAGCAGCGGTTGGCAGTTTTCCTCAACTTTGTGAGAGAGAGAGAGATTGTGTTGGAATGAAACCTTGCTCTGCGTACAGCCTGCTTGAGATGCAGCATTGAAAGGTATAATGTCATTTTCTGTCTTGAAACCAGAGATGAAAACCACAAACAGGTAGAAATCTTGGTGCCAAACCACCTGTTGAGTTGCAGCCGAAAAGCCTTTGCCAATACTTTCCTCACTGTATCCAGCTGGAACATGTTACATGGCTGACTCCCACAGTCTCTGTCTGTACCTGTGAATTTGGTAAAGAGGCTAATTCATTGGAGAAGATTGGGATTGAAATTCAGTTAGAGTTATCATGGCAAAGAATCTTCTGCTATTAGTCTTGCTTTTTGCCTGGAGTAGCATATATCGCTCGTGTAGTTCAGTTCAGCATTGAAAATACCAATCCCAAAGTCACATGCTGTGTATTAGAGAGAAAAATGAGATTTGTTGAAACAGCTTTGTGTGGAGTCCAGATCTGCAATAGCATGATATCCTAGAGGTCAGAATTGAGGTGACTGGATGAAACTGTGAAGACAAAAGTTGTGAAGTACCCTGCAGGCAGCATCAGTACTTCATCTTTTGAGTGTATTACAATTCAGAAAATGACTTGAAATCAAGTTAAAATGCTATCCTTGGACTGCTACACAATATGCTCCCTGTGACATACGCATTACAGAAACAGCCACTGTGTGTTAATATGGCATTACAATTTTGGACTCCACCCACAAAAATTAATAACATTCTTCAAACAAGAGTGATGTAGGATGCTGACACATTTAAGCCCATATGTTCTTGGACTTGTGTCCTCCAGTGCATGAGAGAACTAGAAATCCCATAATTTTTCTTATTTCCTGTAAAGACATGCTGGTAAACTAGTACAATGTAAGTGCTGGCAGGCTGGCGGCTGGCAGGGTTTGGACCATGAATAGCTGAACAGTAGAGCCATATTTTATACTTTTGCATGCTCTTATGTGTCCTATTCTGTTAGTAGTACTAGTTAACTTTCATGGGTTTGCACAACCATAATTTAGAACAGATTTGGGCCACGCTATTTATATTTGTGCAGATTGCCTCATGTTTGTGAAACAATTATTTCCTGTGGATCTGTAGCATTGTCCAGTGTTTCAAAATACTTTCATATGTATATATGACTGTTTAAAACATGAAATGTGTTTTGAAGCAACATGACAAAGAGCAGTAAAATCTGCACAGTAACTGAGCTTTACTTGGCTGTCCATATAATGTCCAATTAATGCGGTTACTGTGCTCTGAAGTCTCTCCAAGGCTGAATAAGACATGCTGTGGCCTTGTAAAAGATGCATTTTCCCTGAATTTTCTAAAGATTTCCATTACAGATGCTACAATGACATGAGGACAGAGTAATCTGTATCTTTAGCAGCAGTAACAATGCAGGGTGTGAAGTATATCCCCAAAATCTGAAGGTGTGAATTCTAACCCATCAGTGAGCTGTGTGAGAATTCTGTAGAGTAAAACCTAATTCTGCGCTGAAGAGGAACACTGTGAACACCCAGCATAAAATAGAAGATGTTCTGTTCACTACTGCACTGTCTTGAGCCAAACTTGGGATCTAAAAGTCAAGCGAGGTTCTTTCATCACCAGTCATAAAGATGCTGTAAGTCAGATTGTCCCCTCAGGCTATATTTTGACAATGTAGTAAATTGAGCTTTGGGAACTTTCTACCAGATCGAGAACTCTGTCACCTCAAAATGCAAAGCACAGATCCATTATAAATTCTCTGATGCAGTTTTAAAAATATATTTTGATGTGTTGACTTATAGCAGCAAGTTCTGTGCCTTATCTGATACCTTTTGTTCCTTGCTGCTAGCATTAATGCATATGAGGGCTGGCAGAAATGGCATCTCGTGCCCTCACATGATCCAGGTGAAGTCTGTACTGTGGAGTTATACATTAGTGCAGTCTGTTAAAGTTTCAGTGATAAAGCACCATCAACTCAGTTACTTCCCTGCATTTTGTTGTCTTTCTGTTCTTCCCTAAGTCCTGGAAGGTGGCACAGGCATCAAGAAGTACAAAACTTGATTTATGTTACAAATGGAATCAGAAAATATCGTGGATTTTGCATATGTCTACCAACACTTCCAATCCCGTGAACTGTGTTGAGAAGAGTGAAAAAACCTAAGTGCTCTTTCTTGAACAAAATGAAGACAGGGCACTACAGAAAAAGTACTTGGCCAAATTCCTTTTTGCCTAAACTCTAGAGAAACTAATGAACAGGCATACCTTCAGAGTTTTGATTTGAGGATGAGTTTGGCCAATATTAAAATTTGTCTAAAATTCTTACTGTTTTGTTCTGCCTTCCTCTCCTTTGCTTTTTTCTGTTGTGTGATGAATGTACCATGTCCACATCTTGTGGCTGTAGCTTTGTGTTTAAAGCCACACTAGCACAATGAATGTCTTTAGTAAATTTTATTTCAGAATTCTTCCAGGGAATATGCAGTTTGGAAAGGCAGAGCTGCTTGCAAAATCTTCAATTTCAGAAATGTTCTGTATTTGAATTATATGGTTTCCTTGACCTTGGTGTGCCAAAAGGACTCTCAATCTGAGGATCTTGGTCTCCTGGAAAGAAGAATAGGGGAAGAGGAGGGAAGAATTTTGTAGTGAGATTTTTGACACTGCTGTGTTTGAAACTAATTGTTTCCTGAAGTTTTAAGAAGTTTTCAATTTGTTTTCTTTTCCTCTCTAACCTAATTAATTTTTAGGGATATCCCCAGGGATATAATTTATAAGACAAATTATTTACATTAGAAGTTGCTGTCATGGTATAGGCCCCCTTGTTTAGGGTAAATTTAAAATGTTTCTATATTCTTTCCATCTATAAATAGTGATCTACTGGTGACAGTCTGTTTTCTTTATTTTTCGGAAAATTTTGTTGTCAGTGTGGAAAATAGAAAAAACATGGAAGTTGAAAAGGAAAAACATTGCTGTAATTCAGCTGTGGCTAGGAAAAACCTTCTGAAGTGGCACTAGCAGAGAGGTAGGGCTCTTTGTTTTGACTTTTTTGTCTTTAAAAATAGGGTTTTTTTAGAAAATAATAATAACTAGTCAAATAATAACTAGTATACAAGTTTTCAGCTTACTGTAAAATAAAAACATTCACCCTCGAGAAAGAATTTTTAGGAAGGATAAGCACATACCAGTTACATTGCTCTGTTCAGGACTGTCCCAACTGCAGTGTTTGTATTGGAGAAGCTGCTTAACCTTTTGAAGCCTTTGTACTGTACAGCCTTTTTTTAATATCCATGCAACATACATTCATCAGGGTAGTATACACATTAAAACATTTACCTTGGGCTTCCAGGGCTGTGCATTCTTTTCTGAAAGATTAAGGAGACACAAGGGATAATTGCTGCTCCTGGTAAAAACAGTAGGCGTTTTGAGAGCAGGAGCAAGTTTGCTGTAAATTCAGGCCAAAATGCAAGTTTGGAATTTATTTGGATTCCAAAGTTTTCCAGTAGCATTGCAGCTAGGTCCTTATTCCTGAGGTTGGATAGTGACACTGACTTTCCTTTTCACAGAGAATGAAATGCAGAAAAGAATTTAAATGGGGATAAAATAAAGTATGGTGCATCTTTAGCAACCTTTGTTTTGATTAGATGGAATAATCCAAGAAGAGGTCTTAGTTCGTAAAACCGTAGTAAACATAGCAAAAACATCCCAACATAAATTCAGCAGAGTATCTAAGCCAGTGTGTAAATCTCAGCTTGTGCTCTAGGGCCTCTGCCTGGCATGGACTTTCTGACCCCACCATGGCCAGGTTCCAGCTGCTCACCCCCACCCTCAACAGGATTTGGGGACCATCTTTCAGTAAGTGTGAGGAACTGCCTGGGAAATTTGCCTCAGGAGATGACAGCAGGGAAAGGGTGTTGTGCAGGGAGTGTATTTTGAAACACTGGATGCACTTTTTTTAGTTTTCTATTTCCATCCTCTGTTCCCAGCTTTTCTAAAGGAATCCTAAGTAATTTCAAAACAGAATTACTTCACTAGCAGTTGTGTGGCCCTCATGAATATGGTGAAGCCTGACACTCCCTGTCTCGTTTTTTCTGGAGGTGTTCAACAGTCTTACAGCATTTTAAAAATCTTTCTATGTCCAGATAGCATTGTCTTTACTTAAAGGTAAGGTTCAGAGGCAAATATAAGACATTTATTAGGTCTCCTCTAACTCTGACTTTTTCCTTTTTTTTTTTTTTTGAGATGCTAAATTATTTTCTATTCCTTTCACAAATTATAGCAAACATTGTGCTATCCCACAGTCCCCAGCTTCAGTTTTAAAATGGATCAAGTTTAGGTTCTGACATAATTGGCAGAGTACCATCATTTTTCTACCCCTCCCTCAATCTGGGCCATAATTGTGGATATCCTGTGGACTGCAGCCCAGAGACTGCCAGTGCTGGGAGCATACGGAAGGGAAGAGATGATGGCAATAGCTCTCTAGCTTGACCTGACATTTGCATTGTTTCTCAGTCACTCAGTGTGATGAGGGGAGCAGAGGGTTTGGCATGAACTGTAAGAAACTGGCCATGATTTGGAGGAGCAGTCTCCCCTGCCTGCCTCTGATGTTATTAGTAGGCGACGTTTGCAGCTCAAAAAATACAATACAAAGAAGGGGTATTTTAAATACAGGGAAAGAAAGCAAATAGATAGAGAAAGTCATACTCTAGGTAATTCCACTGCTTGCAATGAGGTTTCACTGGGGATAGATATTGACCCCATAAAATCCCTGGGTCACAGACAGCCTTATGACAGACCCTGATAGCTTTGTGAAGACAGATTATGTCAAGCCCTCAAATTTGGAAACATAGCAATTCTTCTGTAGTAAGATTGCAAATGAACACCCATTTGGAGATTGCCAACATTATCACAGTTTGTCAGGGTGATCTCACAGCCCACAAAGCACCGTAAGAGATTGCTTTACAAGTTCTGAAAGATTAGAGCGTTGAAGTATGTGACACTGGAATGATGCTTTGATGCCTGGCTTTGTCAGTCAGCCAGACAAATAAATAATATCCAGTGTTTTTATTAGTGTAAAGCATAACAGGTA